CAAAAAGAAGCTACAAATTCATAAATATTGATGTTTCAGGTTGAAAAAGAAGGGAACTTGTTTAACTCCTTAGTGTGTTATCTTCAAGTAGAGAACTTGTCACCAACGACCCCGAACGATCAGATGAAGGGATCAAACAACAATAACAAGGGGTTATTAAATTAGGAATTTAGAGGCAAACAAAGATTTACTTTTGTATAGAAAACCTAAAGATTATAAAAACTTTCTATGTGTGTACCTCTATTAATGAGAAACTTATCAATTAAGGAGCTTTTACAAACACATTGTAGGCATATGGATAGAAATAATCGCCTCTAAAAACTAATTTCTGAAAGAAATTATTCACATCAGTCGTTTGGCACGGGTAAACGGCTAGTATATATATACATACTAGCCGTTTACCCGCGCAAAGAGACGAGTGCGGATCAACAAAATAACATAAAAAATTTTGTTAAACAAAATGATGAACAGATAGAGATTTCTTATACATGGGCTAGGATTAAACGTAAGACATTTTTGGGTTTATTCGATTTGATTAGAACGAAAAACAAAGAAGGAGGTAGCGAGTATGAGAGGGAACCAAGGTTTTGTAGTCAATGGCAAGACATTCATGATAGACGAATGCTAGATCAATGCGTCTCTTCCAGTTTATATGAAATGTTTTATAACATGTAAATCGTATTAGACCGATTCAAATGGATATGAAGAACACTTAGTCAAACTTTGACCCATTCAAAATCTTATCATCATCTTATTTGATTTTTTCATTATTATTGACAGATTCGGTATTTAGCAATTCAATTGGATATAAGGAACACTTGGTCAAAGTTTGACCCATTCAAAATATTATCATCATCATCATCTTATTTGAGTTTTTCATAAATGTTGACCTGATAAGATTTAGTATTTACCGATTCAATTGAATATGAGGAACACTTGGTCAAACTTTGACCCATTCAAAATCTTATCATCATCATCTTATTTGACTTTTTCATAAATGTTGACTGCATAAGATTTAATATTTACTGATTCAATTGGATATGAGGAATACTTGGTCAAACTTTGACCCATTCAAAATCTTACTATCATTATCTTATTTGACATTTTCATATTTAACCCATTAAATTTGAAGATAAGCTTAGAAGACCTATTCAAAATCTGTTTTTGACCGGATAAGATTTATTATTCTCCAATGCATAAAATTATTGTATATGATGCTTAAAAGAAATGTTTTAAAAACCGGTTTTTCAATTGAACCGGTCGAGTGACGTTTTCCGGTTCAACCGGATGGTCAAATCGATTCTATATTTTTATATGTTTTTAATTATCCTGCATACATTGATTACAAAAACTTGTCATCTTTTTAGTATTACAAACGTAAATAGAATGCAACATATAAAAACAATCATTATAGAAGTCAAAATCAAACAAAGAAGACCAAACCAAACACAAAAATCCAAGAATGTCCGGTTCAACCCGACCCATTCCGGTTCAATTCAGCCGGTTGGACCGGTTTTTTACCAAAACCGGCCGGTTCAATCCGGTCAGAAAATCATTATAAAACCGGTCCAAATCGAACCGCCCTCACCTCCGGTTCCCGGTTCGACCGGCCGGTTCGAACCGGTTTTTAAAACACTGCTTAAAAGTTTGTACCTCTTAAAATTCAACAAAATCTTGTAATGTTTTTTAAGGTATATATATATATATATATATATATATATATATATATATATATATATATATAGAGAGAGAGAGAGAGAGAGAGAGAGAGAGAGAGAGAGAGTGTGTGTGTGAGTGAGAGTTAGATTCATATATAAAGGGTCCAAATTGCTTAACCCTATATAAATCATATATATTGTGTGAATGTATGACTAAATTTGAACCAATAATTTAATTTAGGTAATTTCGGAAATTTTACAATTAACTAATTTATTATTCCCATTTTAAAAACCTACAAATAAGAAAGTAATCAACGATATTGTTTAATTTTTTGAATATCAACAAATTAAAAGCCTATAAATATGGAATTGAATTAATTAAATACAATACAGTCTTCATCTTCAAGCCTCTGTAGGTCTTCATATTTCATGCCCACCTGCACAGCCACCATTCCACCGGCTCCAGATGAAGGATAGAAAAATAAAATGCTAAACTCGCCCTCTCACCATCTCATGTATACTTTTAATTTTATTCATACTCCTTCTGTCGTAGACAAGTGGCCAAGGCCGTTTCTTGGATTATTAAAAAAAAAGTGATGTTATTTGTTAAGTCTTTAGTTCATGATAGTTGAAAGTTTGCTTTTTACGCGTATGTCTTTTAGCTTCTTATCAATCATTTGTAATAATTTAATATATAATTAAATATTCCCATTTAGTTAGATATAAATCAAATTGTTAAGAAAAAAATCATACAACAAAACGTACATGTTAAATCAAAAAATGGTGTGCACATACTTTTAGAAACAAAATAAGAGTTATACCACAATAACTTTCCTCGTGTTTATTATTATTTGGGGAGAGGTAAGGAGGAAGAAATGCTTGATGGATTTGTTTTTTTATTTTTTATTTTTTTTTTTTAAGGAAAAAAAAGGTTGATTGGTTCTTGTGAGATGGCACAAAGGTTTCGGTTGTTTAAGGTGATGTACACACGGGCATAAAGGGGATACATAGAGACGAGTTGTTTGTGGAACGGACTGTTATTCATCGTGTTTTTCAAGGGCTACTATTTAACATCTTCAAGTGATATTGTTAATTGTCTTTTTATATTCTTTAAGAATGGTTCTTATTTAGAACTCATACCAAATATCTATTATTTACTACATATTCTTAAAGAATATTTATAGCATGTAATGTATGCTTATGTGTAAAAAAATTATTTCATATTCTTCAAGAATTCTTTATAGCATATAACTTATGCTTATGTGTAAAAAGAATATTTTATATTCTTCAATAATTTTCAGTTGGTGATATATCTTTGATGAATCATTTTAGTATCATGTAAAAGTAATATTGCATAATTCAAAAATATTAAGAATATTTTAAAGATTTTTTTATTTTGTTAATGTATTTTTGTTTATGTATTATTCTTTAAGAATATTAGTGATATACTTGTAATTCATTTCTTAGTATTTCATTATCAAAGAATATATTTTCTTGGAAAAATATGATTCTTATCCTCATATTATATTATGATTTGCATTAAATTTTATTTGATTTAGTTTTATTAATTAATATGACTTGGTTGCCAAAAATGTTGGTAATTTTGATTTTACTCTCTTAATAAAATATCTTTTATGCAAGTGTATTCTTTAAGAATGCTAACTCTAAAAAACCACTTGATTAAAATCATATTTTTAAGAATGAAAATACAATATGTTTATCGTAATATCATAAGAACCTATGTTTTAAAAAAAATTATGTAAATATCCCTATATAGTTTTTTAAAATAAGATAAATAAGAATTTAATAAAAATATCATTAAATTATGCAATAAATAATTAATATTCCTTATAATTATAGGTTATAAACAAAATACATTTATAATTAAATAAGTGTAAATATATAGTACACACTATCCTATATTAATTATATGTACCTTCAAATCGCAAACATTCATTTTTTCTAATCAAATGGACAAAAAACTGTTAAACATTCATACAATATTTATAATTTATATTTAATCATATATATATATATATATATATATATATATATATATATATATATATATATATATATATATAGGGTTAGGTTCATATGAGACGACCTAGTTTTGTGAAACCGTGAGACGTAATCCTAACCGCTCATTTAGTAGATAAAACAAAAATATTTTTAAAATGCAAAATAATTTAAATTTTTCGAAATTTTTTTTCCAATATTATTTTCGAAATATAGATTTTCCAAAAAAAAATAATTAAAAAATACCAATAAAAATAAAATTAATACAAAAAAATACATTTTTTTACATATTTTATTAGAATATTAGAATATTCTACATATCTGACAAATGTAGAAGAATATTTTAAACATTCTAAAATTCATATTATAAATCTACGGTGTAATATTCTATTAGAATATTTCACGTATTTTCCAAAATAAACGGTAATTTTTTTTTTTTGGAAAATAAAGTTCCGAAAATAATAATTAATTTTTTTTTTTGGATTTTTCTTTTTATTTTACATTTTAAAATGATTTTTAGATTTGGTCTTACGGTCTCACAAAATTAGCACGGTGTCAATTGAATCTGAACATATATATATATATATATATATATATATATATATATATATATATATATATATATATAAAGTTCCGAAAATAATAATTAAAAAAAGAATTTTTGGATTTTTCTTTTTATTTTGCATTTTAAAATTATTTTTAGATTTGATCTCACGGTCTTACAAAATTAGCATGGTCTCAAATGAACGTGAATATATATATATATATATATATATATATATATATATATATATATATATATATATATATATATATATCTTAATACCTTAAAAAACATTTATCTATTTTAGGAAAAGAAAATCTTAATTTTAAGTAGTACAAATGTAATGTAGAGGTACCAACGTTTTATGCATTTTTATTCCTTAAATGTCTCATAGATAGGTATTTGCGATATGAATCGGTCAAAACTTATACGTTATTAACTACTAAGTATTTATGGTCAAACTTTGTAATATATAACAATTAACCCACTCAGAATCATAGCTAAAATGCTCTCAAGGGATATAAAAGGTCCAAGAGAGAAGGTGGTGGACGGAGGTCTGGCGAAGAAACAAAACTTGGCAAGACACAAGAACAGCTATAACAACATAATTTGTTTCTAATCTAACGGATGATGTGCCGAAGGTAAAGATCAGGAACTCCTTTCAAAAGTTTAGCAAGCTAGTTGATATTTACATTGGTGGTAAAAGAGACAAATCAGGATCGATCTTTGCGTTTGTCAGATTCAAAGGAGTCAGAGATGTGAAACGATTAGAATAGGAAATGGGTAGAATTAGATGCGGTTACTGCATTCTCAGGGTGAACATGGTGAAATATCAGAAACTAGATACTCTGGAAAATAAAGATAGCATAAAGTTTGCTGCTACACAGATGAGAATGAAAACTAACAAGTGGTGTCCGACTAATCAATCACTATCCTTCGCAGATATGGTACATGGAACAATGGTGAAATATTCGGAAAATGAGGTTAGGAACATTAATATCAGGCTAGTCAGTTTCTCAAAATGTAGTCATGACTGTGTAATGGTTGGTGAGGCCATTAACATTCAAATTATTGGGGAGTTACCCATGATTCTTTCTTTGGAAGGTAAGCATGAAGCTACAGTTCATTACATCGGTTGCATGAATGTTATCTTTAAATTTGTAAACTCCAAAATGGCGAAGGTGTTTCATGAGAACCAACAAAACTCGAATAGATGGTTTAAATTGCTAAAAATGAGGTTCAACGATGACCTGGTGTGTGAAAGATTAACACGGGTAAAAATTCTTGGTTTACCTATCAGATTTCATTCATTTGAAAATTACATGAAGATTGTAAATGCATTCAGAAAAACGATTGAATCTCCATGGACTAAAGGGGTTGAATCGAGTGATTTTGACTTATATTATGGATTTGTATGTGTCCTAACTAAAACTAGAACGATCATCAATGGTGAAATAGATGTTTCCTTTGGTAAAAAGAAATATAAAGTTGGTGTGGTGGAGTGTGATAGAGACTGATTCCCATTTAATAACCTAAGCACTAGCACTGTAATTCATGACACCAAGGTTGTTGATGAAGATGATGAGATGCATGAAGACAATTGTATAGAAGAAGATGGTGATGATGTGAATGATTCTGATGAGGACGGGATATCAGTAACATGGGAAGTGCCAATGCATGTAAGGAATATTATTGAAGATAGGGGAATTATTGAAGAATCATTTGATAAAGACGACATATAGGGGGTCCCGACGACGACATATACGATGGTGATGGTGTACATTGGTAACAGAGCCAATACAGTTAATTGGGTAAATGAACCATTGTATAATACTACTGATACAAGTTGTCACAATGAAAAAAATAAATGGTGTAGTTGACGTTCAATTCCCCAAAGGTCCTACAAAAAAAAATGTCAAACGAGAACTATAATTCAATTGAAGAACCCAGTAACCATACATCACATAGGCCCATTCATAATATTCCACTACCTGGTGGTGACGATTGGCCCACCACTCCAGACCCGATCCACAGTGACAATCCATTACCTAAGTTTGGTAAAGGTGAATCCCTGGATAAACGCAGGAAATTTAATAGTTTGAAGTTGTTTCATCAACCTAGATTTGCATTGTCTCTCCAATCTCATAAAGTACGAAATTGTTGCTCTCCTATTGTTTCTCCTCTCCCTTTGACTTCCCCTGTGGTTGACCTAAATAGGGCGGCCTCAAACTCAGAGCCTAAAGGTGAAGATAACTTCTCTTCCTCTAGTGAATTCGAAAGTGCGATCAAGGTTGGTAAGGAAGTTGGTTTTCAAATTGATTTCGGTGATCCGATTGCTACTGGAATCGCTAAGACTGATGGTGATGGTATAAAAAGCATACCTCAGTGAATTATCTTTGCCTTAACATCAAGGTGTGTGGAGAAACCCATAAAATTTATTAGGTGTGCAAACTCAAACGGGTCCATAAAGTTGATTTTATATGCCTTTAAGAGACTTGTGTTTCATACTCAAATAATATTGACGTTGCTAGTTAGTGTATGGGATGGAATTGATTATTGTGCTGAGTTTGTTAATCCCGCAGGAAGATCCGGTGGAATTACTTTCATCTGGAACCCAAATATATTCTCGAAATGTCATATTAAATCTTCACAAAACTTTCTTGCAGTCACAGGTATTGGAAAGGCATCCTTAGTATCACAATGATCGTTAATGTCTATGCCCCACAATCGAAATCAGAAAAAAGAAAACTTTGGTCGGAATTATATGATCTAAAATGTAGTATTAATGGAATCTTGATTTTCCTAGGAGATTTCAATGCAGTCAGAAGTGAACAAGAAAGGTTTAACTCCACATTCTGTAGAAGAACTGCTAAAGATTTTAATGATTTCATCGCAAGGACTGGGTTGCGGGAATTCAATATGGGCGGTAAAAATTCACTTATATGTGCGATGATGGTCTCAAGCTGAGTAAACTTGATAGAATTCTAATTTGTCCCAACTTTATTGCTTAACAACCACTATCCAGTGTTATAGCTCTTGACAAGGAATACTCTGATCATACCCAATTGCTTATCAAATCCTAGAATCAGGACTTCAGCCCACCATCATTTCGATTCTTCAATTCATGGCTACATTGAGATGACTTTCATGTGGAATTTCTAAATGCGTGGACCTTCTAAGGTTTTGGTTCACCTGATATGGTACTAAAATGTAAACTAAAATTCGTGAAGATTGGTATTCGTAAATGGCGGAGTATTGTCTCAGAGGAGGAATCAAAGTTATTAAGCGATGCAAAAAAAGAGTTGCTGAGCTTGAACAGATTGCAGAATCACGATTACTATATGATGGTGAACTTCTAAAAAGAAAAGAATGTGAAGCAAAAATCACTGAACTTGATAGGTTTGCTAATATGGATCTACAAAAAAAAAAAAAAAAAAAGCAAAAGTGAAATGGCTTACAGACAGGGATGAGAAAACCACATTCTTTCATGGATCAATTAAAAGCAAGAATAGAGAAAAGCTTGCATGGAATTACTATAAATGGTGCATGGAACACTAATCCCTCCACAATGATGAATGAAATTTAGGGATACTTTGCTGAGAAATTCCATGAGTGTTGGCCTATAAGACCGAAACTAATCAATGATCAATTCAAAATGTTGTCCGATGTTCAGATCAATTTCTTAGAGGCCCCCATTAGTATGGAAGATGTAAAAGAAGCAATTTGGAGCCCTCGTGTAGATAAGGCCCCTGGTCCTGATGGATACATATTCAAAGTATTGAAAAACAAATAGGAGATCAGTAAAGATAATTTCTTTAGATTTGCTAAACACTTTGAAACACATGGGAGGTTTGCGAGGGGATGTAACTCGTCATTCATCACCTTAGTCCCAAAAGTCAAGGAACCACTAAATCTTGGTGACTACAGACCCATTAATTTGATTGGCTGCTTGTACAAGGTCATCTCCAAAGTCCTCATATCAAGACTCACGATGGTGGTTGGTTCTGTAATTGACAAAGTCCAATCAACTTATATTAAAGGCGTAAACATTTTAGAGGGCCACTAGTTATCAATGAGGTATGCTCATGGGTCAAAAAATCAAAATCAAAAGTGTAATGCCCCATTTTTGGTATGTGATTTAAATAAAGTATTTTTCATTTCTTAAGGGGTAATCGACGAGTCAGTAGCCTAAATCGTCGAGTAGAGACGGGATGTTCACACTATTTAAGTTGGCTACTCGATGTGTCCATATGTTGGGACTCGGCGAGTCTTCCTATTTGGATGAAACACTAATTCCAAGGGTTTGTACCGTATTTAAACAACTTTTTCGCCCCAACCTAATGCCCATCAACCTCAGAGCGTTCCTTATCAAACCGTAGCCTCCTTGAAGTGTGTGTGAGTGATCTTTGCCTTGTGAAGGAACTTTTGGTGCATTTTGGAGCAAGTAGAAGAAGGAGAAGGTTGAAGAGCTCAAGGAAGAAGAAGTAGATCCAGAATACACTCCTTTGTGGTTATCTTTTCTGGTAATAAGGTTTCCATCTTGCTTATTGAGCTAATAGATCTAGTTTATCCCCAAATTGTTGGTTTTAAGCTCTAAAACCCCAAATCCTTTGTGATAAAGCCTTATGACCGAGTCATACTTCAGATCTAGCCTCTCTTGAGCTCCAGAAGCTCAAGGAGATCACCTTTTTGGTAGCCATGGATTTCTTTTTGGCTTATTAACCCCATAACAGTAAAGTTTGAGTGTTATTGCTTCATTTATTCTTGGTTAAGTTAGCAACTTTACGTGTTTAGATAGTCTCAGGAGCTTAGATATACGGGTTGGATGCACTAAAGTGTATTAGAATCAATTGTATAGAATCTGCATGCTTAGGACTCGGCGAGTTGTTCTTCAGACTCGACGAGTCGAGTCGCGAGTCCCTGTTTTTACCCCGATTTGAGAGTTTAGGGTGAATCAGTGAGTGACGAAGGGACTTGGTGAGTTAGAGTCAGATCTAGTGATGGAGGGACTCGACGAGTCTGGTCAACTGAAAGTTGACTTTGACCAGGAAGTTGATGTTGACCTGGGAGTTAACTTTGACCATGGGTAAAATAGTCATTTTACCCTGAGGGCATTTAGCAGTTCCTAATTTAGTGTTTTTGGGATTTGTAGATGAAGAGTTACGGAGTAGCAGTCAGCCAGTTTTAGAGTTAGCATCTCAACAGCCAGTGTTACGAGGTGAGTTTTTCCTTCCATTAGGAATGGATCTAGGGCCACAATGCCGAACCGATTAGTTATTAGTAGTTCCGGAGCTCGGTCCGATGCCGTAGTTAGAGTTCTTGATGTTTTTTTTTTATTCAAGCATGTTTTGTGTTATGTGTTCTGCACTCTGGTTCAATGCAGTATGTAGTATATGTGTTCATGCTAGTTGATATGTTTATGCTATGCTATGTTCAGACAGTTTCTTGACTTCGGTCCGATGCAGGGGACAAGGTCCCAGTCTGTTCCGGACTTCGGTTCGATGCAGTTTCCGGACTTCAGTCCGATGCAGAGGGCAAGGCCTTGTTTAGTTCCAGACTTCAGTCCGATGTAGTTTCTGAACTTCGGCTTGATGCAGAGGGCAAGGCCCTGGTTAGTTCCGGACTTCGGTCCGATGCAGTGGGCAAGGCCCAATAGTTGTTTATATGTTATTGTATGATATGTCGTAGCTGGGGGGGAGCTCACTAAGCTTTGTGCTTAAAGTTTCAGTTTCGGCTTCAGGTACTTACACTAGCAAGGGGAAGAGCTCGGGTTGATGGCATCGCACACACCACCGATTCAGTTTTATCCTGGGGGTTCCATTCAGATATTTTGATATGATTGATACAGTTTTTGTTTGACATAGTTACTATGTCTCTTGAGTTATTCATTCCATGGTTGTAATTATATATGACATTCGATGATGTGATTTTTTGTAATATTAAAACAAAAATTTTTGGATCGTATTTTGGGTCGTTACAAGTTAGTATCAGAGCATTGGTTTGAGGGATTCAGGCACACTAGCGGGTGTGACTAGACTCAAACTAAGGAAATGGTAAAAAAATTTTGAAAAGAAAATTGTTTTCAAAAGAATTTTTGAAAAATAAACTTAAAACAAAAAGAGTTTTTGGAAAACGAGAAAAGGGTGTGGGGCATGCGATCGGCCGAGCTCAAGTAAGTATTCCCAAATTACCCATACACTTTTATGTTATGATTATCAGTTGCAGTTTCAGTAGAACAACATGCTAGAATATGACTAAGGATCTAGGAATGATGCCTTATGTGCCTGCTTTATGTATTTAATCTTTATGAGAATTGCATGCTAGAATTGAGTAGACAGTAGTAGGATGGCCTGTTTAGGTCACTACAAGAAAAAGACCCTTTTACAACGTGCAAACCACGACACTCATTGATTTATGTTACGGAAAAGAGAGTGACACTAAAAAAGTGTCATCTCTTCAAAAAATTTAAGGATTTAGGTCACGTATTATTGCGTGCCCTTAAATTAGTGTCTCATGT